AATTATTGCCCATAAACATTAGGTTAGATTCCAGTCAAACTACTTGCAAGCTTCTTCCATTTGGTTTCCTCTGTGCATTGTATGAGTCATCAACAGAATGAACTGTCACTTGGACGGGGAAAGAGGAAGGAAGAAAGCACCTGAGTCCAATTAAATAACCTTTCACAAGCTGTTGGAAATGAGAGGTGTTTGGGACTCCATAAACCAAACTCAGCTCATCTTAAGGAAGAAAAAAGAGGATGAGGCAATATTCTGGAAGACTGAAACAGTTATCCAGGAACAAACACAGCTCCAGATAATGGTAGGAGAAGATACAAACACTGCTGGGAAAAAGATAGACAAGGGGGCTGTGTCTACACTGGCTGCCTATTATGGAATAGGCATGCAAATGTAGCACTTTGGAAGAGGCAAATCCGCACATCTTTGCCTTTTTCATGGCCGCCGCTTTTTTCCGGCTTGGAGATAAGCCGGAGAAAAGCGTCCAGACTTGCGCGATCCTCCGGAATAAAGCCCTATTCCGGAGGATCTCTTATTCCTACTTGGATCCCCCGCGGATTTGCCTCTTCCAAAGTGCTACATTTGCATGCCTATTCCGTAATAGGGGCCAATGTAGACGTAGCCGGGGGGTAAGGTAATATCCTTTTCTTTTGCTGGTGAGACACATACTTTCAAGCTACACTGAACTCTTCCGCAGGTTTGGGAATGGAACTGAGAGTGTCACAGCTACATACAGGATGGAACAGATAGATTAGCACAAGAAGTTAGCACGGGGCTGGGCAATCTGTGGGCCAGATTCGGCCTGACAAGCTGCCAGATCTGGCTCACGAGAAGGTAATATCCTTTTCTTTTGCTGGTGAGACACATACTTTCAAGCTACACTGAACTCTTCCGCAGGTTTGGGAATGGAACTGAGAGTGTCACAGCTACATACAGGATGGAACAGATAGATTAGCACAAGAAGTTAGCACGGGGCTGGGCAATCTGTGGGCCAGATTCGGCCTGACAAGCTGCCAGATCTGGCTCACGAGAGCCTCA